TTGGTGTTCCAATTGGTAGGTAACGATACCACTAGATCCAGTACAGGCCCAGCTGCCAGCATTATGGAACAACGCTTCATCTCGACTCATGGAATCAAGGTAAGGTTGAGGAGGAACTTTTACGTAGCCCCTTTCAAGATACCATTCAACGAGTAGTACAGCGTGGCTGGTACCRTTAACAATACTCATTTCGTTGCGTCTTCCACCGCCTTCATCAAGTAACCACAAGAATGTTCCCTTCTTGGATTCCAACAAGTCAAGCGCCTGCGAGACTAAACTGAGCTTTTCTGAATTAGGTGCAATTGAAGAATCTAAGTCTGAAGCGACTCGTCCTAGCGATTCCATGGTTCAAAGCTCTTGARAATGATTTTCCCAAGTACAGTTTGCGTAAACTCTGCACATTGGTGTTATGTTTTCAAGAGATCACTAGGTATTGGCTTCACGCCAGGTGTTGTGCGACAACGGCTCACGTGACTTCGAGCATCCAATCATCTTTTTTCATTTTCATTTTTGAAAAAGAGCCTGGGCACACGGTTTTATGTCTACCAATTAAAAAGCGAAATATTGGCGGGAAAAACCGGATTCCTACTAGTAAAAGAGGAGCTCCCAGTACAATCGTTATTATCATCTACAGTACTTTATTAAAGAAAAATCTGYAACCCATGTGTTTCACTTTCATGGCTTGAAACGGAAATACGTCATGTCCATCCGTAAGTCAGCTTGGCTATGTATACGAGTGGAGTCAGTTGGCTCAGTGTAAWAAAACCCTCCATTTTCCAAGTGCAATCGCGAAACTTGCGTTTTAAACTCTTAGATGAAAACTGAGTATRGAATGTTGAAAAGAAGCAGTAATTCAAGTATGTTTAACTAAGCCAAGAGAGGACTTTTCAAACAAATTTTTTATCTCCTATTTCGGTGCTTAGAATACTTAGCCTCTATCGAAAGAGTTTCAGCAATATGACGACGTCAAATATGTAATAGATTTACTTTCAGGTTGTTTTCTTAATGGAAAATACATAAATTCCCAAAAAATTACAAGTTTTTGACAGAAAACCTGAGATGGGTATTTTTTACTGCAATTAAACTTTAGTTTTTTTTGTATGTAAAATTTCCCAGGCAATGTTAGATTTTTTAGGGAAAAMATTTCTAAAGTTCTATCGAATGCTGGATTTTCCATCAAAGCCGACTAACAAAATTGATAGCAAGTTTAGTATTTTTTATAATTTATTTTGAGTTGAGCTATRCCATGTAATGAAAACACTATACTCTATACTTATGGAAAAGAAATCTTTTGTTTGTTTATTTAATTCCCAAATAATTTTTTAATTAGATTTTCAAATTACAAGAGTAAATAAGGTTTATATTTTTAACTGGTCCTGAATAGACTTTAACGATTGTGAAGATATTTCCAGGGAGCGAAAAAAGACATTTATTGTTGAATGCATGCATACAATCATGTGACATCCAAAGCAATATACAGCAAATTGAAGAAGCGTCGGGTTGAAAAGGTCTGAGTTATCGAAGCTAAGAGCGAAGGGTATTCTGGGTAGTCTATATACTATGCACTTGCAGAGTGTTGGAATARAGAGTGACAAACTACTTTGTTCGATACTGGCTTGAGTCAATTTTCCAGAACTGTAAAATTGCAATATGCATAACACTAGCTTGTTTACCCAGAACACCCTTCCGCCTTAGCTTCATCAATTGAATCTTTTCAACCAGACGACGTTTTATCAGTTTGGTGCCGTATGTATCAGACAATAGTGAATGGATGCAAAACATGAGAACATCATGGAGCAGTTGTTAATGTATATAGACGATATTATATGCTGTTATTTGATATTCTTTATCTATTCTTATTTTTATTATTATAAATTGTAGGCTCGCTCAATATGTACCATTCTCCCTCGACTTATTTCAGAAGTGAGGAGTACAGTACTATAGCCCTGTAAAAGTCCCATCATCATTGGTTAACAGCAGCATAGCGAACGGTTCCATTATCTGTCACATTCCGAAATTCGTTTGTTATCTCCTCAATGGAACGTCCTTTGGTCTCAGGGACAAAAAGATAGACGAACAACCAAAACAGGAAAACCAAGACGATGAACACGATGAAGACGTAAGGAAACAAGGCAGTCTGAACAAAGAAATTACAGCAATAAAGAAACAAGAAAAAGGAGTATTTTAAAACTCTAGCATTCCACAGGAATCCCGAGTGAAAAATAGTAAGAAAAACAGGAGTAACACAAAYAAACATGGGAGTAAACTGAAGAGCAATAACAGGCTAATAAAATAACTAACGCTCTATGCAGGCTAAAGAATGATCAGTCAATTTGATTAAATAGTATGAATATAGAAACGAAATCACGTTATCTTCGCGATTATACCAAATGAATCATCGAAATTACATCCAATCCTTAATTAAAATAAATAAAATGCTCTTTTCGAAACGAGGTCTTTAGCTTGTAATGGATGAGTGTTGGAAATCTGTGAGATGTTTTAGAGAATATGCGTCTGATAAGGCAAGAATGATGGCTCAATCCCCTTTCCAAGACARACTTTTCATTGCACYATACGTACCTGCATTGAAGGGAATGCAATACCAACGAGGAAGTTTGACAGCCAATTGAYAGTAGCAGCGATGGAACAAGCCGCTGACCGAGGACCTTGAGTAAATATCTCGGCCGYGATGAACCATGGGATAGGTCCTGCAATAGTAATAACCAATCAAATTAACTCTCTCTCTTTTGGAAGATCAAATATATTCTGTGTTTTATTGCCACAGGGAACACATTGATAGTTTAGGATCCCTGTGACAGAGTGTGGGACGTACCTGGTCCAAGCTGAAAGAATATGACTAGAATGAGAGTAGCAATCACCGCCACGTATCCCATTGCCTTGTAGTGCTACCAAYGTGATAAAAGAACAATAAATACTTCAGTGTGAACAAAATGTCTTGCACAAGTAGGCTACCTATATTATCTTACCTCATATCTGAATGCAATAGTCATAATTACGTAGAAGAAAGCCATTCCGCCTAAACCCCAAAGCATCAACGGTCTTCTACCACAAGCTTCCACAAGTTTGACCTGAAAATGAACAAAATAATCTAAATAAAGAACAACAACAATGGACCCTTCTAAAAATCATTTTGGATGAAAGGCTAACGTGAAAACACAAATTTTCTCGATAGAATTTATGATATTTCATTTGTACTTCCATGTCAGGCTCGCAAGAGGTTTATTCTTGCAGACACCTATCGATACATGGACAGCACACGAAGACATCGACTAAGTATACGCTCACGGTAAGGTTACTATAGCAACCAGTTATACTTACAGTGAAGGCCGTCATAATCAAACTGACCACGCCTACTGCAACTGTAGCATATTGACTGCCTGATATTTGTGCTTTATCAAACGTAGATGTAGAATARTAAAAAACCTGCAACAAAACAAATAAAAACTTACCGTATACRTATTAACAGCATGAGCATAGGAAACAGAGAAGATCTAGTCAAGAATGACCATTACAAAATTTATCATGTTATGAATATATGTCTCATGACCATGTAAGATATCTGAGGCTTCTAATAGACCTTTTAAGTTGTGACGTATTTCCGGGTCCAACTCCGGGTCCAACTGCTCACACACAAAAAACACTAAAATAAAGCAAAAATTGTTSTCCATTATTTTAACCTCCATTCTGAAACAATTAGAACTTTGGACATGCTGTCATGAAGAAAAGGCAAGGAAAATCTTGTAGAAGTAGTTTTCGTTTTGCACCTGAAAGTCGCCTTAATTGCCATACGATTGACGTCACACTTCAAAGCTATATTACACGCCGAAAAGTAAGCTCGCACTACGGCTGTGATTGGTAGAAATAATGTCTCCGTTTCCTACGTGACCGTAACCTAAGGGTTTTACAGTCACACAATCTACTCTACAAAAGCACCTCTTTTTACTCGCTGCTTTCAGTAACGGCTTAATAGCGATCTATGGCTTAACGTAACACTTGAATATATGTGTGTACGATATTCCGTGTCAACATGACAACGTTATCCAGTGAAAATGGATGAAAATGAACAACCCATTTGTGTTCGGCTGCTTAGGGGTATCCTTATGTCAATTGTCGCAAWTCCTTACATTTATTATCATAATCAACGACAGATGACTTATATCGTAACTTACTGCATTTATTCCACTGAGTTGTTGAGACATCTGTAAAACAATTGCTATCACGAGAGGCCTTTGCAGGTCCTTCTTGGTGAAAATCTTTAAAATACCGACGTGTTCCTCTCGTATTGCTGCTTCTTGTTCTTGCTGGAAATAAAGCAAAAAGATCAATTTAATCTGTTTACTGAATGATGATGATGATGATGATGATGATGATGATGACTGTGATGATGTGATGGTGGTGATGATAATGATGACAGTAATGAAAATGGTGACAACGACGATAATGGTGGCGATAATGGTGATGACGGTGATGATGATGATGACTGTGATAATGGTGATGATGATGATGGTGGT